TGCGGTGTGAGATTGTCATCATTATGACGATTTTTTGTATGTTCGGTTCACAATTTGTTACTGGCGACTTTTATAGCCCATCATCGTCAGGATGATGATGAAGCATCATCCTCATCTGTGAGGTGCGGATTTTTTTTCTGTTTTTGTTTTCTGCTCTTAATTCTTTGTCGCGTGTCATCTGATGTTGTTGTTGTTGTTCGGAATTCAGGTGTGTTGCTTGACAAATGCCTCCTGGTTTCGTTGATCCGTGTGTTTTGTTTTCATATTTAGTTGTTATTGCTGTTCGGAGTTCCATCCATCTGCAAGATGTCTAGATATTTGTGTTACCCACAGCCTGTCTGGCTGGCTGGCAGGCAGAGAGGCAAGACCACCATCAGCCACCAAGCTGCTTCAAATTGGATCACTCTGTGTTCTTTTTTTGTGTTGCTGTTTGTTTGATTGAGGTAATGGTCGAGGTGTTGGGCTTGGGTGGTTATCCGACAAAGGCTTAAAGCGGCCAACAAATGCATTGCTGCGAATATGGTTTACACCGGAGCACCATTGCAACAACAACAGTACCAACAAAAACACACATTGAAATTTTTCACAGACAATAATGGCAGCCACAAATGGAACAGTTACTTTCGTTGTAATGCCAGGCAGGCTGGGGCTGAGGCTCACAGAAAAAAATGGCTGCATTGGGCATCATACTTTTCCGAGGTCCCGAGCACAAACGCACGCCACAGCAACAGACACAGGCTGCTGCTGGCAGGTTGGCTGAATAACCTGACTCTTTTTACAAGCGAAGACCATTCAACCAGTCTGACTGCCAGCCAGCCTACCCCAGACCCTGACCTTAAGTGCCAGTCAACCATCCAGTCAGCCTGCCACCCAGCCAGCCAAACAGAGAGAAAGGAAAAGTATTGTAAAGCTTTACTAATGGCAGCAGACAAACTCAATTAGACTGCAGGGAATTGAATCAAATGTGGAAAAAATGGCAATGGCTTGTTTTTTCTGCACAGGTCTTTTCCCCACTTTTCCGTTTCAGGGTTCTGCATTTTTTCGTTGTTGTTATTTCTCTGTTTGGCAATTTTTGTCTGTTGGTTTTTATTTAATTTTTTTTTTCAAGCTTCTGCATTTTTCCAATAAGCCAAACAACCAACCAGTCAGCCATACATTCATCCATACTCTTCGCCTCTGTCATTCGGAGGTATTAAGAATTCTTAAATGTAATACCAGGAATAATATATGGTCGAGTATTGACTCTGAAATCTGTTGATGTTAGGGAAAGAGAGGAGTGGGGACTTTTTAAGCAATTTTTTCTGGTAAATATTTTTCCCAGATGTTGTTTCTTTTTTCGGAAAATTGAAAGTAAAAGTTTTTTGAAAGCGAAGTAGCAGAGCAAACAAATAAGTTCAATGATTCTTTTGGTGGTAGTTATTTGATTAAGTGATGTTATGGATACGGAAAGTCTGGATGAATATTTTAGGAGAGATGGTATTCTAAAAATACAATCGAAGGTCCCTAAAGGTTTACATGAGACTGCAAATGATCTTACAACCTGAAAGAAGCGGAATATTCACCGATGAAAACGAAATCAATCTCAAAGGAGTTTTGTTTCAACGCAGAAGGGCTCAGAGTATTCTATGGTATAACAAAAAATGCGTTGTTGTCCAAAAAGAGTTCCTTCCGAGGCCTTTGCTTTACATCGTGTTGAAAATATATTGAACAGAATTGTTGTATATTTTTAAGATTTAATAGTAATAAGAGTCTAAAATACCAGATATATATGATATATACAGATTCAGGTTCTTTGGAGACCACTACTATAATTTGATGGAGAATATTTATTTCCTTTACAGCAACACGCTAAAATGACTCCGAAGTGTAATAAAGGCCCCCACAAAATACTACTGAAAACAATAGTCATTATATAGCTTTTTGTGTATTATGTATGATTCTGACGGATTTTTAATCGATACATATTATAGTTACACAAATCTTTATAGTGGCGAATCATACTCAAATTCGATGAAAATTATTTTCTTCATTGATACCAACATCCTGAAGTGTGGTCTTACTGGAGTTTTTGGCCAGAAATCGACATGCACAAATTTATAGAAAAATTCAATCATTTTTAGGTCTTATTTAGATTCGAAATTTTCCTGGTATACATTGTAGCTACAGATTTTTATTATTTGGAGACCCTTAGTGGAATTTGATGTAGATTATTTCTTCCCTTTATTGCATCCCTATAAAATGAATTCGGGAGGTCATAACGACCCCCTCAAAAAAGTACAAAAACATTAGACAACATATCACTTTTTGGGTAATTTCTATGATTATAACCGATTTTTAACCGATACCCATTATAGTTACACAGATCTTTAAAATGGTGACCCCTACTCAAATTCGATGAGGATTATTTTCTTCATTGATACCAACATCCTAAAGTGTTGTCATAATGGTGAAATTGACCACAAATCGAAGTACTCAAAAGTACAGAAAAATTCAATAATTGTTTGTTCCAAATTAGAGTCGAAATTTTCCGGGTGTACATTCTAGCTACATATTTTTATTGTTTGGAGACCCTTTGTGGAATTTAATGTAGAATATTTCTTCCCTTTATTGTACCCCGATAAAATGAATCAGGGAGGTCATAATGGCCCCCACAAAATACTACTGAAAACAATAGACAATATATCGCTTTTTGGGAAATTTTTATAATTGTGGCCGATTTTTAACCTATACCCATTATAGTTACACAGATCTTTAAAATGGTGACCCATACTCAAATTCGATGAGGATTATTTTCTTCATTGATACCAACATCCTAAAGTGTTGTCATAATGTTGAAATTGACCACAAATCGATGTACTCAAACGTACAGACAAATTCATTAATTACATGTTTCAAATTAGATTCGAAATTTTCCTGGTATATATTGTAGCTACAGATTTTTATTGTTTGGAGACCCTTAGTGAAATTTGATATAGTATGTCTCTTCCCCTTGCATCGAACCGCTAAAATGATCTGAAAGGTCCACAACGACCCCTTCAAAAAAGTACTGAAAACAAAAGACAATATATAACTTTTTGGGTAATTTTAACGATTGTGACCGATTTTTAACCGATACCCATTATATCTTTAGTATGGTGACCCCTACTCAAATTCGATGAGGATTATTTTCTTTATTGGCTAAGGTATAACAAAAAAAGTTCCTTCCGAGGTCTTTGCTTTACATCGTGTTGAAAATATATTGAACAGAATTGTTGTATATTTTTAAGATTTAATAGTAATAAGAGTGTAAAATACCAGATATATATCATATATAAAGATTCAGGTTCTTTGGAGACCACTACTAAAACTTGATGAAGAATATTTCTTCCCTTTGCAGCACCTCGCTAAAATGATTCCATAGTGTAATAATAGCCCCCGCAAAATACTACTGAAAACAATAGGCAATATATCACTTTTTGGGTAATTTCTATTATTCTGACCGATTTTTCACCGATACCCATTGTAGTTACACAGATCTTTAAAATGGTGACCCCTACTCAAATTCGATGAAGATTATTTTCTTCATTGATACCAATATCCTAAAGTGTGGTCTTGATGGTGAAATTGACCACAAATCGAATTACTCAAAAACATGAAAAAATTATGTAATTTTTTGAACCAATTTAGAGTCAATATTTTAAAGATATATATTGTAGCTACAGATTTATGTTCTGTGGAGACCCTTAGTGGAATTTGATGTAGAATATTTTTTCCCTTAACAACAACCCGCTAAAATTAACCGGAGGACCAATTATGGCCCCCACAGAATATTACTAAATATTAAATGCAATAGACACATTTTAGATCAATTTTTATAATTACGGGCGATTTTTTACCGACACCTACAGTATTTACACAGATCTTGAAAAAGGTGACTCATTGTGAAATTTTATGAAGATTATTTTCTCTGTTGATACCAACCTCCTAAAGTGAAGCCTTACTGGAGATTTTGGCCAGAAATCAAAATGCGTTAAAATTTAAGAATACAGGCTAGTATTTTTGTTGCCCATTAAAGCCGATATTTTAAGGATATTATGTATATCTACAGATTTGTGGTCTTCGAAGACCCTAATGAAATTTTATGACGAACATTTTTTTTCCTTTATGGAACCCAATTAAAATGAATTCGGAAGGTAATAATGTCCCAACAAAATATTACTGAAAACTAAATGCAAGAGATACATTTTCTATCAACCTTTGTAATTGTGACCGATTTGTTTCCCGATATCGGTTATAGCTACACCTATCTTGTAAAGGGTTACCCATAGTGAAATTTTATGAGGATTATTTTCTTCGTTTATACAAACATTCTAAAATTCTGTTTTATATGCGAATTCGGCTCAAATTCAAAATTCTCAAAAGTGCGGGAAAATTTCACTCATTTTTGTGTTCCCTATTAAATCGGGTATATTCCGATTATATATCATATCCACAGCTTTGTGTTCTTTGGAGACCCTTAGTGGAATTTGATGAAGACTCTTTGTTCCCTTTATGGGAACCCACAAATATGAATTCGGAGGCTAATAATGGCACCCACAAAATATTACTGAAAACCAAATGCAAGAGATACATTTTCTATCAACCTTTGTAATAGTGACCGATTTTTTTCCGATATCGGTTATAGCTACACCTATATTGAAAAAGGTGACCCGTATTGAAATTTTATAAGGATTATTTTCTCCATTTATATCAACCTTCTAAAATTTTGTCTTATATGCGAATTCGGTCCAAATTCAAAATTCTCAAATGTGCGGGAAATTTTAGTCATTTTTGTGCTCCCTATTAAATAGGGTATATTCCGGTTATATATCATATCTACATCTTTGTGTTCTTTGGAGACCCTTAGTGGAATTTTATGTAGAATATTTCTTCCCTTTCTAGCACCCGCTAAAGTGATTCCAGGAGTCAATAATGGTTTCCACAAAATATTACTGAACACAAAATCCAATAGTTACTTTTTTGTTGATGTTCCTAATTGTGACCGAAATTTTGGGGAAATATATTATAGCTATAAATATCTTGGTAATATAGTGGAATTTGATAAAGAATATTTTCTTCCTTGGTACCAACCACTTAAATTGAAACCTTACTGGAAAATTTGTCCAAAATTCAAATTACTCAAAGTTCGGCTAAAAACATAAATATTTTTACTCTATATTAATATCGATATTTTCCGGATATATATTACTTCGACAAATTTGTGTTCTTTGGAGGCTCATAATGGAATTTTATGCAGATCAATTCTTCACTTTACAGCTTCCTGCTAACATGAATTCTAGAGGCAACAATTCTATTCAACCTAACATTTTTAATTTTCCCACATTTTAAATCTATCCACACAGACATTCTAAGGCAGTAAATCACAATTTATTAAATTTCCCTGCCAAAGTGAAAAACGGAGACTATAATAAATAGAAAGGAACTGCTGCTTGTTCTTCTTCTTCTCCCGAGTACACAAGAAAACGAGTAAAACTATCATCAATTACTCTTTAAGTTTTTTGCAGTAAAAGTGCTTGACAAACAAATGTCCAAGAGCATAGAGAATGGGCATGCATGAATGAATAAAAACTGACTGCATGCCCTGATGGCTGGCTGATTGTCTAGCAACTAGACACACACACAAAAAAGTGACGTTTCGTAGACGACATAATAAAAAAATCCAAACCAGGCTGTAAGGTGGAACGAGGTCTGCCAGCCTTACTCAGAGGCTAT